AGGAGGAGGAGGAGAGCTGCAGTGCCAGGGCAGCACCCGGACCTGCTTCCCTCTGCCTGGCTGCTGTCCCTGTGCTGGAAGCTGCCGCAAGCCCCTGCAGGGCCGTTTGTGCTCCTGGATTGGCCCCATTGCAGCCGGGGGAGCAGGGAGAGGGGAAACCCACCCTGCTGCACCCATCTGGGTCCTGGGGCCTGTGCTGAGCCCACCGTAGGGATGGGGACAGCGATGGGCCAGTAACACCAAACAAATAAATAATTGTCCCCCTACAATGCAAAGCTTTATTATCTTCAATGTATGACTGAACTACTCTGGTGTTGTTACTGAGGATATTAAAACCCAATAGTCTGCTAAGAATTTAACTTCTGCGGAGTCTTAAAAGTACCCTTTAATTCTGAAATTAGCAATAACATAATATTTGGTATTAAAACTGTGTTATAATCCCCAAGAGCTCCTCCCAGCTGGGTCCCAGAGAGGCCGAGTGAGCAAATCCTCATCTGTTGGTCCCAGGGCTGTGCCTCGAGCCTCTGGCATGTGCATTTGGGATGCTTGGCTGCGTGCAGGGCATCCCTTGCCCTGCTCTGCCAGTCCCTGGGGTCTGTTTGGGTGGTACCAAGGCTGGTGCCCCTGCACAGCCCCTCCCCAGCTCTGCCTGGCCCAGCCCCTGACCCTGTCCCAGCGCTGGGCCAGCCCCGGCTCCACGGCTGGGTCACTTCTCAGTCACTGTCTTGGACAGAAATCAGCTCCCACAAAAGGCCATTATTCTCAGTGGAAGGAAGTGCATTGGTGACCCAGCAGCCTGGCTCCCCCAGGGAAATCTCTGTCAGCCCGTGCCTGAATGCCAGCACAGCTCAGGGCACAGCCTGCCACCCACCAGGAGCCAGCCTGGCCCTGGGCACTGCCAGGGCAGGGGCAGCCTCAGCCCCTGAGGAGCCTGTGCCAGGTTATACCACCCTCTGCATTAACGTTAGGCCTGGTTTTGGTTAGGAATGGAGCCAAGTGGGGCTCTCAGCTGCAGGGGAAGGTCCCTGGAGCAGCAGGGGTTGAAGGTCTCAGTGTGACCCAGGCCATGGCCCCAGCTCAGGAGGAGGGTGTGGGCAGATCCTGGCGCTGCTGCGTGGAAGAGCCATAAACCAAAGGGAGAAGTCTCCTATGAATTATTAACACAAACAGCTCTGCTGTTCCCTGGCTGTAGGGGAATGCCAGGAAGGGCGAGTGGTGTTTCCAGCACTTTAAATGAGCAGATTTCCTGATGATCACTCAGGGATGCAAGGATGCTCCCGCGGGCAGGCAGCAGCCCCTGGAGACCCTGGGAATGGGTTTGCTGGGGGGAGCCTCTGCCTGGCTCTCCTTTGGGATAGCCAGCTTGCCCTGGGGCTGCAGGACACGGTGCTGGTGGCTGTGGCAGGCCGTGGGTACCCCCATTCCCCAGGGAGCACTGTGTGGGCTGTGTGCCCCTGGGGACACAAACACAGCCAGCACTCACTCTCCTCTCGGTGAGGACAGCGTGGCACCGTGCTGGTGACATCCACAGCGAGATGCCACAGAGCCCAGCAGCCCCGGGTGTTGCTGTGGATGCCACGGACACGGCCCAGCCCCTCTGAACCATGCCAGGGCTCTCCTGCCTCACCCTGAGCATCTCCAGCCCCATGGGGATGCCAGAACGGGCTGGGCAGCGCTCCCGCCTCGCTGTCTGTGATGGTTTTGGGCAACCCCCTCAGGTCTGGGTAACCCCTCCAGCCTGTGAGGGTTTTGGGCAACCCCTCAGGTTTTGGGTAACCCCTCAGGTTTGTGTAAACCCCTCAGGTTTTGGGTAACCCCCTCAGGTTTTGGGTAACCCCTCAGGTTTGTGTAAACCCCTCAGGTTTTGGGTAACCCCTCAGGTTTGGGTAACCCCTCAGGTTTTGGGTAACCCCTCAGGTTTTGGGTAACCCCCCCCAGTCTGTGATGCTTTGGGTAACCCCTCAGGTTTGTGTAACCCCCCCAGCCTGTGATGCTTTGGGTAACCCCTCAGGTTTGTGTAAACCCCTCAGGTTTTGGGTATCCCCCCCAGCCTGTGATGCTCAGGGTACCCCCTCAGGACGTGTCCCCAGCAGTGTCTGGGCTCTGCCCCTCAGCCCTGCCCCAGCTCGGCTCCGTCCCAGCACGTTCCCGGCAGCTCCCGTTGGAGCCAGGGCAGTGCTGCCAGCAGAAACTCGAGCTGCACGGTCTGAAAACCCCATTTATTTAATTATTTACCTCTTCCACCCTCTGCCTCTCGCCACGGGCTGGCCTTTGCTTTCCCAACGCTGCAAATGAAAGTTTACAAACAAATATCCCCCGGGTCTGGGTGCTGCCTCGCCTCTGCCAGGGCACAACCTGCCTTTGCCCGCTTGGGCCAGGGGTAGGGAAACCTTTGGAATTGATGGTCTGGGAGGCCTTTTCCCACATAAATTATTCCGTGATTTTGTGGAACTGGGGATAAATTCAGTTAGCTGAGATACTGAATCTGGTGTTCACACACTGCCTGAATCTGCTGTGTCAAACACAACCAGAGCAGGGCCCTGGACTGGCCTGCCCTGGAGCATTTAAAGGTTTATGTGCTGGGGGAAAACGAGGTCTTCTCAGCAGGTTTGGGAATGGAAAGGGAATTTTGGAAAGGCGTGGAACAGCATGATTTGTTGATAGACAGAATTCATTTACTGGTAAGAAAATATCATTTTAATGGAATAATTCTAATGGGTAGCTGAACCATTTGCATGAAGGGCAAAGATAAATGAAGAGGAAGAAAATTAGGAGAAATGTAAATAAATCTTAAGATAAATCAGGTGAAATCAGTGAAGTACCAATACATACCCACAGCCACATACCCACAGGATGAGGAGGGAACAGAGGGAAACTGCTCATGGTGTGAGGCTGGGGCAGCTGCAGGCAGCCAGATGAGACAATGGCATGGAAAGGCAGCCCAGCACAAAAACTGAAATACCCACATGGCAGGGGAGGCGCAGCTAACATGGTTCCACGTTTCAGTGGGGTCTGAGCTGTTAACTCTCTGGGAAGGACAGTCCCTCCATATCCTGCAAGGAAACTGAGGCACAGCCACTGCCAGAGGGGAGAAGGCAGTTCCTGCAGGACAGGCTGAGCTGTGATCTGTACAGGGAGAGGGGCTGGCAGCACGTCCACCTCTGCCTGAATTCTGGGAATGGGAGAGGGCCTGGAGTGGGTGGGGATGGGGCAGCAAGTGAGCCTGCTGCCTCTGGAGCTGCACAGGGGAGAGCCTTGCTTGTGCCGCCTGCTGACCCCAAACACCACAGAGCCATGGAATGGTCTGGGCTGGAACAGACCCCACATCCCGTCCAGGGCACCCCAGCCACGGCAGGGACACCTCCCACTGCCCCAGGGGCTCCAGCCCCAGTGTCCAGCCTGGCCTTGGGCACTGCCAGGGATCCAGGGGCAGCCCCAGCTGTGCCAGGGCCTGCCCACCCTCCAGGGAACAGCTTTCTTCCAATATCTGATCTCTATCTACCTTCCCTCAGCGTAAAGCCATCTCCAAATGCCTCCTTTGTCTTTGAAGGCTAAGCATCACTCATTTATTCACTTTATTCACTTATTTCGATTCTCATTTGGTCTGCCTGCTTCCTCTCAAGGTTTTAAATTGCATATATTCTGCAAGCCTTTTATTACCTATTTTTAAAGACAGCACTGCCGGAAGAATCTCCTGGAAGCATGAATTACCAACACAAAAGGCAGGAGGAGTGTTTCATAATGCTACTGGGGCGGCTCCAACACGAGCTGCTCGGTGCAGCCAGCAACGCCGGGGCCACACTTCTGCTGCCACTAAAAATAGTGGCAACTTCAAACCCAAATATATTTTCGCTCATTAAAATTATGGACAAATAAGAGGATTTTTTTTACTCTTTAATTAAAGCAGCCGCGTAACCTGAGTGTAAATAAAAGGTAGCTAAAAGGTAGCACTGCCCCCGCAGATGTTGCAGTCAGGTTTCAGTTGTGTTCACAAAAAAAAATTGAATTTAACAATATTAAAATCACAGCACACCAGAAAAATAGGCATTTTCACATCCGCCCTTGGAACACACAGTAATTCACAGCCACATGCCAAGTCATGAGTTCTGTGCCTCCAGAGTATTTGAAATTGCTGTGGCTGTGCAGTCGGGCTCAGACACCCCAGGAGTGCCCCAAGTCCTTCCTCACCCAGAGGAGGAGGAGGAGGAGGAGGGCACACCCAGGGCACCCAGGTGCTGCTGTACCCTGCCCAGGAGCCCATTGATTCTGTGGTACATGAACTGGATTGAAACAAAAACCCATGCATGCAAATGTACAAACCGACAGCACTTCGCTGTGGGTCTCATGCTGACCTCAAGTTGTGTTCAAGACATGAAAGAGTTACTGGGCATAAATAGGAAAAAACATTAACCCGTGAGCTGCAGGAAGCAAGTACAGCCCGTGAATGAGAATTGGTGTTGGCGTGGGTCTGCCAAATGTTAAGCTCTAAATAACTGTTTACTTCAAACTTTGTGGTGTCTTAAGAGAATGATTTGTAGTTAGAAGATTCCCAAACATACCCAGGGGGAAAACAGGTTACAAGCATGACCACAAAATCAGAACAGGTTTAATCTCATTTGCTAGTCAAAGATTGCACAGCATGAGGGAAGGTGGAACTTCTAGGTGGTCAAAGTAGAGAGATAATGAGCTGGATCTTGTCCCTAGTAATCACAACCCATCGTTGTCACTGATTATTAATTCCCAGCCCAAAGGCCGGAGCTGCAGTCGCATTCACCTCACATGTTGGATGCATTAGAAGCTCCAGGTGAGTGTCTCAGGGAAAGGCCTCTTCAACCACACCCACCCCTGAGGGTGATGGACAATCACAGGGATCACCTGGGCCCCTGGAGCTGGTGGGCTGGTTGCCTTCCATAAATACAGCCCAGGAAGGAAGGGCCAGCTCAGGGACAGGCTGGCAGCTCCCCAGGGCTCCTGGCTCTGGTCCTTGCTCTGCTGGGTGCCCAGCTCCTGGCTGAGCAGCGCTCTCTCAGGTGGGACACCCAATGCATGGTTCTGGTGTGCTCCAGGTGAGGAGGAGCTGTGGGAGCAGGCAGGAACCTGGTGGGATTTAGCAATGGCTCCGAGTGCCCCGTGCCAAACAGCACGGCTGGCAAACGGAGCAGGAGCCCTGCGGGAGGCTCTGAGGCTCAGCTGCAGCCCCAGCCAGCACGGAGCGTCACAGGGCACGGAGTGAGGTGTCACCTCGGTGTCACCTCGGCCAGCACGGAGCGTCACAGGGCACGGAGTGAGGTGTCACCTCAGTGTCACCTCGGCTGGCACGGAGCGTCACAGGGCACGGAGTGAGGTGTCACCTCAGTGTCACCTCGGCTGGCACGGAGCGTCACAGGGCACGGAGTGAAGTGTCACCTCGATGTCACCTCTGCCAGCACGGAGCGTCACAGGGCACGGAGTGAGGTGTCACCTCGGTGTCACCTCGGCTGGCACGGAGCGTCACAGGGCACGGAGTGAGGTGTCACCTCGGCCAGCACGGAGCGTCACAGGGCACGGAGTGAGGTGTCACCTCGGTGTCACCTCGGCCAGCACGGAGTGTCACAGGGCACGGAGCGCGGTGTCACCTCAGCTGGCATAGAGTGTCACAGGGCATGGAGCAAGGTGTCACCTCGGTGTCACCTCGGCTAGCACTGAGTGTCACAGGGCATGGAGTGAGGTGTCACCGCGGAAGACGCGGTTACTGGCCCTGTCGCCGGGCGGCTGGTGGCACGGCTGGTGGCACGGCTGGTGCCAGGCGCCTTGGTGCCATGCAGTGTCCGTGCCAGCACCTGCAGGGCACCCGCACCGCTCGCTCCGGCCGGCCCGCACTGAGCGGGGCTCGGGGCCACCCCCAGGTCCTGCAGCTCTCCGGCCCCGCTGGACACAGCCCTGTCCCCGTGTCCCCTCCGTGCCCGCAGCAAGGGCACACGCAGCCACAGCCCGGGCAGACTGCGGGGGCTGCAGCGACCTCTGCCCAAACCGGAATTACCGGACCGTCCTATTTCCCAATGAACGCGAGGAACTGACCGCACGATGTTCGGAAAAGAACGGGGTTTTCAGCACAGAGCAGCAGATTCAAAGAATATCCTATTTTTATGCTCCCTCTCCGTGTAATTCATCTGCCGTTCCAAACAAGACGTGCCTCAGCTGAATGAAGCCTCAAATAATCACATAATAGGAGAAGTCATTTATTGTGAATCAGGCTCTTTCTGTGGTATATAAATAGTCTGTGCTGTTCCACAGGCTTTGTCAGTCAGGATTAATTAGCAATTGACCCTTGCTTGAGATTTCTTCGCTACCTCTACATTTTTCGTGGGGCTAAATGAGCTCTCCACATTGCTTTAAGAGGCTTCCTAAGCTGGAGTTTCATTTACCTCTAGGCTATAAATCAGTAGTTTAATTTATCACTAGGTTACATATCAGCAGTGAATAGTCAGGGTGGAATTGAGTTTATTATAAAGGTGTTCTGTTAGAAGACACAGTATTACAGTGATTGAAACATGCTCTTCAATTTTCCATTAATGCCCAATTCTGAATATGACCACAGAGAACCACACTTTACAAACTTTACATTTAGCATTCTAATAAATAAGTTCAATAAATAGGGACTCTGCAGAGGAAGCCGTACATATGAACAGAAGCTGCTTAACAATGTTGTCAAAAAATAACTAGAGCTGCTCTCATTTGTAACCAATCGCTGGAATTGGTAAGTAAAATATAAATATTTTACTCTTATGATGCAGACCAGAGGAACAAAGATCTGTTAAAAATCACCCTTAGGATTACATCAAACTTAATTTTGTACACTAAATTCGTTATTCAGAGCATGCTTTGATACCGCTTTTAGCACAAAATATTTTCAAATACATTTATTAAAAATATGAGAAACGAGCAACACTGCCCATGTAGAATTTCATCCGTGCCTGATCACTAGCTCTTGTGTTACACAATGTTGCAGTTTGGCTAATTTTGGATGAACTATCCCACATTTGGAGGAGATCTATAGTAAAGGGCCAGATTTAGCCTGTAGTATATTGCAACATCTTGTTAATACAGTAATTTATTTGTCAAAGTACAAAAAAAAATTAATTCCCCCCAATACTGTTATATATATATATATATATTATATATATAATCCATTTATATTATCCACTTTAATATCCACTGTTCTTGGCACACCACCTGTATGTGTAAAGGCTGCAGGGGCAGAACCTTTGTGTCGGCCACGGCAGGAGCACGTGTTCCTGCTGGCCTCGAGGCCTGGCTGCTGCCAGCATGCCCACCTGGGCTTGGCACGGCTGCGGGGCCGGCGTGGTGCCGGCGCGGTGCCAGCGCTCCCTGGCCGGCCAGGCCGTGCCGTGCCCGTCCCCGCGGCTGGCACCGGGCACCCAGCGGAGCCCGGAGCCGCGCCGTGCCCGGCAGCTCCCCGTGCCCGGCAGCTCCCCGTGCCCGGCAGCGCCCGCGCGCCCGGCAGCGCCCGGGGACGCTCCCGTGCCCACCCGGGGGGCACCGGGGAGCCCTGGGGGCAGCTCTGCCACGAACAACCACCGCAATCCCAAAGCACAACCATGCACACACCAGCAAAGCCTACCTGGAGTAAAACACCGGCACTGAAAGAGGACTGAACCATAAATGCCACCAAACTATCGAGTAATTATCAGCACTAGAAGTAGATGAAAAAAGATACTAAAACTGAAAACGGTAACTGCATCATGACTTTGATTTAAATCCTTGCGTACGACAGCGAGTCAGCAGAGAGCCTGGTCTGTGACTGAGCCTCAGAAGACAAGATACTGCTCTTATTTTTATTTCCTATTTTTAAAGACAGGCTGACTGAGAACATTTTCAAACGTGGGAGACTAAGTCATTAAACCAGATGCACTTGGATTGCTCTCCTCCTTTAGGGGATTTATTTCATTTTACTTTATCTGACAGAAGTCAGAAATAAATGAAACTACTGAAGGAAAGCTGAATTCTAACACGTTATTTTCCCTTAAAATTCTTCCACTGACTTTGTTAAGCTTTTCCTAAGACCAGAAAATGAGGCTTTATCTAAAAAAGAATTTGAGACTGGTAGCTTTTCCTCACACACTCGTAAGCCCTACAGTCTCCTACTGCCTCAAAGCGGAGGATTTTTTCGAACCGTTCCCAAATCTGCATTCGTTCACAAACTGGTATCTCCGTTCTGTTTGTACTCTGTTAAAATATTGAGAGTCATTTCCTCGCTTTTGGACTGCACGTTGTGCTCGCTCCTTCTGGATGATTTCCTGGTGGCCCTGGACAGCTTCCTTCGGAAGGTGTCGCCTGCCAGGAAGTAAAGGATGGGGTCAACGCAGCTGTTGAGGCTGGCCAGGCCCCTCGTCACTTGGTAAGTGGCATAAACCTTATCGTTGAAGGCACACATATCTGGGGTTTGAAAATCCACCCTGGCCCTTAGATTCAAGGTCTTCATCACGTGGAAGGGAAGGTAAGACACCGCAAAGACCGTCAACACAATGATGACCAGGTAAATGGATTTTCTCCTGAGAGGAGAATTGTCCAAATCCTTGTAAATCAAAGCTTTCACGATGAGCCCATAGCAACCAAGAATCACTATGAAGGGGATGCAGAACATCAGCACGGTGGTGCACATGCTGTAAATGAAGTAACTTCTCAGGTAATCGTCAGCCGTCGTGTCGTAGCACGTTATGGTTTTATTTTTCCTTATCCCTGTTCCCGAGTAGAAGAGTATTGGAGAGATGGCGGCCACCACGAGGACCCAGACCAGGCTGCTGATGTACATGGCGTTCTTCTTCTTCAGCCTGCCCAGCGACTTGAGGGGGTGCACCACCCCCGTGTACCTGTGCACGCTGATGCAGGTCAGAAACAGGATGCTGCCGTACAGGTTCACGTGGAAGATGAACCTCTGCAGCTTGCACATGATATCTCCGAAGATCCAGTCTGTTTTGTTGAAGTAGTAAAAGATGAGGGCGGGCAGAGTCAAGACATACAAGAAATCGGCCAGTGCCAAGTTGAACATGTAAACCGAGATGCCGCTCCAAGGCCTCATGTGGAAGACAAACATCCAGATAGCCACGCTGTTGCCCAAAAACCCCGTGATGAAGACCAGAATGTAGACGGTGGGCAGGTAATAGAACTGGAAGCCGGTTTTGGTCAGGGAGCACTTGGTGGTGACGTTTCCCGCAGACCAGCCGCTGCTGGACAGCAGGTTGGGCTCAGTTCCGTTCAGAGCAGCAGAGAGAAGGACTTCGGTCATGATCCTTCCCCCAGAGTCACATAGGGCTGAGGCGAAGCAACGAAGTCTCCACAGGCACAGAAACGCATCTAAAAAAGGAGGAGAGCAAAGGAGACCCAGCTGGAAGGTGAGCCCTGCCCTGCCTTCCCTCGGAGGTTTGCGAGCGGCGGCACCGGGCCCCGCTGCGCTCCCCGCCCCGCTCCGAGGAGCCGCGCACGCCGCCGCCACCGCGTGCTGGCCCGGCCGGAGCGGGGCCGGGGACAGCGACAGGGGCAGGGCGGCGGCCACGGGGCCGAACGGGGGCAGGGAGCGGCCGGTGCACCCGCGCCCCCGGCGATCGCCGCCGCCCCGTCCGGCTCCCTCTGCCCGCCCGGCCCCGCTCCCTCTGCCCGCCCGGCCCCGCCGCACCCCAGCCCGGCTGCAGGAGCGCCGGGGCCGCCCCACCTGCCTCCTCCTCCTCCTCGCCGTCGTCGTCTCAGCCCGCGCTCGCCGCTCCGCGCCGCCGGCAGCGCCCGCCCGCGGGGGGCGGCGTCCCGGCCGCGGCTGCCCCGGCGCCCATGGCCGGGCAGGGCCGGGGCCGCGGGACGGGCCCGGACGGCGGCAGCGCCGCGGAGCGCGGCCCCTCGGCGGGCACGGCGCGGCCCCGCCGGACTGAGCCGGGCGGGACGAGGCGCGGCTCGGCCCCGGCGCGCCCGCCCCCCGCGCCGCCCCCGCACGGGCGGTGCTGCCGCGCCCGCCGCACCGGGGCCGCGCCGCGGGCACGGGGACGGGGCCGGCGCTGGCGCTGGCGCTGCCCTGCCCCGGGGCGCCCGCCACGCCGCGCTCGGAGCGCTCCCGCAGGGCGGGGGAGCACACGCGGGGCGGCGGGCGCGGAGCCCCGCACGGCCGCCGGTGTGTGACCGTGTCACCGCACGGCCCGGGCGGGCGGGACAGCAACGCGGGCCGTGGCAGGGTCCCTTCAGCCCTCCCGGGGATAGGCAGCGTCACTCAGCTCCCGCAGCCGTGGGACGGGGTCCCGCAGCCCTCAGAGCGTGCGGCAGGGCGGTGCTGCGCCGGGGCTGAGACCTCTCCCTGCCAGCCGGTGGGTGCCAAGGGCGCTGCTCCCGAGCTGCTGCCAGAGGTGGAACAGCCCTTCCCTCGTTCTGCTTTCACTCAACCCTTTGAAATCTGCTCTGCAACCCAGTTTAAGTGACACGAACATGTTAATTGCTGCAAATGGAACAGCTGAGCAGAAATATGCTCTACTGACCTCTAATTAAGCGCTATACATTTGGCACTTGAGTCAGAATATGGTTATTATTTATTGTCTTGGCAAAACACAATCTGCTGGTTTCAGCCATTTCTTCCTCGCTCCCATTTTCGCTAAGTATGGTGGGTGAGACATGAGCCAGTCAGAGCTGCTCTCAGCTCAAAGCTGTGTTCTAGACAGAGTGTTATTAGTCCTTCATGAATATGTATTCATTCCTCAAACTTTTCAGTCTGTTTAAATTATAAAACTTCTTTGCTGGGAAAGCTTAATTGGGAAATCAGCTGCATATTGTACCCCTGTGGGAATATGCAAGTGGCTGCAGATGGAGTCGCTGGCCTGGCTTCACTTTTGGGGCAACTTAAGCTACCATGCCAAAGCAACAGCCTCAGTTCTGTAAATACAATACCTTTCCTTCTCGTATGTTAGTTTTTTTCCCTTCTGTTTTCATCCACTAACAACTGCTTATTCAGTATTTTAAGATTCTTTTAAATTTTAACACAAAATGGATGTGAAGTGAAAGGAAAGCAAAAAAGGAGACAAGAAGTGTAACACCTATGAAATCCATGTTGTACAGGGAGCCCGGTTTGCAGAGCTGTTCTGTGGTGCCCTCTAGGATTTGAGAGCACTGGAAAAACAAATCCTGACTCTTCATATTCCCAGGAAAGCAAACACCCAACCCACGAGGCAGACACATGGCAAATGCAGCGCAATGATATCAAGCCTACCACGCCAGCATAGGGAAAAGCCATCTTGCTCCTCTGAGAGTCAAAGCAGAATTTATTTTAATGAAGGACTTGGATTATTGTGTAAAAAAGTACTAAAATATGCAAACAGATGCTATTAGTAGAGGAGAAACCTTTTAGTTTCTCTACTCCTTTGTCAGAGCAGTTTCACTAGTGACTTCTCAGTGCCACGGCTCGCTGCAGCTTCTCGAGGCAGCTTGCTGGAGTTTCCTGTCTTGAGCAAATTTCGAGCCACGCCGAAGCCGTGCCGATAGCATCAGCAAACACACTCCGAGCTGCAGCCTGCTCCCTGGTTACCTGAGCAGCGCTGCAAACCCAGGCTGCGAGGCAAAAGGTTGAGCAGCCATTCTGGGAGCACACAGCTGCCGAGCAAGGAGGATTCCTGGGCTGTGTGCTGCTGCTGGAGCCAGGCTGAGGGGCAGGGGAGCGGGCCCTGGGGAGCTGCTGTGCTGGCAGCGCGGCCAGAGCAGTGGGAGGCTGAGCTGCAGGGAGGGTGAGTGCCCAGAGGATGATGCTCTGCCCGGAGGATGAGATCTGCCCAGAGGAGGCTGATCTGCCCGGAGGATGGTGCTCTGCCCAGAGGATGGTGCTCTGCCCGGAGGATGGTGCTCTGCCCAGAGGATGGTGCTCTGCCCAGAGAATGAGATCTGCCCAGAGGAGGCTGATCTGCCCAGGGGATGATGAATCTGCCCAGAGGATGGTGCTCTGCCCAGAGGATGAGATCTGCCCAGGGGATGATCAATCTGCCCAGAGGATGGTGCTCTGCCCAGGGGATGGTGCTCTGCCCAGAGGATGGTGCTCTGCCCGGAGGATGATGCTCTGCCCAGAGGAGGCTGATCTGCCCAGAGGATGATCAATCTGCCCAGAGGATGGTGCTCTGCCCAGAGGAGGCTGATCTGCCCAGGGGATGATGAATCTGCCCAGAGGAGGCTGATCTGCCCAGAGGATGAGATCTGCCCAGGGGATGATCAATCTGCCCAGAGGATGGTGCTCTGCCCAGAGGATGAGATCTGCCCAGGGGATGATCAATCTGCCCAGAGGATGGTGCTCTGCCCAGAGGATGAGATCTGCCCAGGGGATGATCAATCTGCCCAGAGGATGGTGCTCTGCCCAGAGGATGAGATCTGCCCAGGGGATGATCAATCTGCCCAGAGGATGATGCTCTGCCCGGAGGATGGTGCTCTGCCCAGAGGATGAGATCTGCCCAGGGGATGATCAATCTGCCCAGAGGATGATGCTCTGCCCGGAGGATGATGCTCTGCCCAGAGGAGGCTGATCTGCCCAGGGGATGATGAATCTGCCCAGAGGAGGCTGATCTGCCCAGAGGATGAGATCTGCCCAGGGGATGATGAATCTGACCGGAGGATGATGCTCTGCCCAGGGGAGGATGCTCTGCCCAGAGGATGTTCCACATGTGCTGCGCTTGCCCAGGTCACGCTGACCTCAGGGAGAATTCTGACACGACAGAGAGACACCCCTGGGGAATCTGTGGCTGCATGGAGAGGTGACAGCTGGACTGGCAGGACATTGCTGAGGTGCCAGTGTGCGTGCTGAAGGATGGACACAAAGGTGCAAACACCTGAAGGCAGAAGTGCTCTGTACTGAATCCATCCTTCCCATTCTTCACCTGCAGTACTCTTGATCTGTTACTACACACTCCAAACTCAGATTTATAATCTGGTCTGAGACTACAATTTATTCAGTCTTCCCTGCCAGGGCAGGATTTTCCCAGACACCTGACTCATCCCTGTAACCTTGTTCTGAGTGTCATCTCATTTTTCAATGGCTCTTGGGAAGGGTGGGTGCTGAGCAGACTCTGGTTGTGACAGTAGCTGACATGGATTACAGGCACAAGCTGCCTCCCTGCCCCGGCAGGGCTGATGGCAAATCCCTGCACCAGGCAGCCTGTGCTGTCCGGGCAGCTCATCCCTGCCCTCAGCACGGCCCTCTGAGCCTGCTGGGAATGGAGCTCTCACACCCTGGCTGCAGCAGTTTGCACATTCTGGCTGCAGTGCTTCAGCTGCAAAAGGTCCAAACGCATGAGTAAAGAACGAGGCAGATTTTTTCTCAGCCCCGCTGTTCCATGCCTTCTCCCACAGCCAGCAAACGAGTGCCTTCCTGCTTGCCATGCCGAGCTGTTCTTATTTTGGAGCACAACACGAAGCATGTTGCATTAGCACCTTCTCCTCCATCGCTCCGGCATATGCCTGGAGCTGACTTGGTTGCTGTCTGGTGGAGCTGGAGCTGAATTCCTTCCAGCTCTGCCTCTTAATGCATTTTCTGCAAAATCTGGGATTTTATACCGCTGATTTCCATTAAACTGAATGTTTTGTTCTGCTAACAGCTGATTTAACCCAAACGGATGATATATCCCTAACGAGGAACCAAAGTGTGCTGGAGCACAAATGGAAATTCCCAGCCAGTCCAATTAGTGCTGAGCTGTTGTGGCGTGGGGGAGTGGGAAGGGAACAGGCTGCTCCTACCTGTTGGTGCTGGTTATCAGGGGGCTCAGATGTCAGCATCTCAGGGTGTGCTGGTACCAGCAAGGGGCCCAGGCCAGGAGCAGGCTGAGAAATGCTGAAAGGACCCTGTGAGTGCTCACCACAACACCTGCCCGGAGAGAGGGAAAATATGTACACATATACACACAGAGAGGGTCTAAGGCATGCTGCATCTCACTCAGGAGAGCTGCTGGAAAGGACAGGTGAGCACAGAGATTGTGGGGTGAGCACAGAGCTTGGAGATCGAGCTGCTCTCAACTCCCCACCACAGGACACCTTACCTGCTGCAAAAATGCCTGTTTCACACTTTACCTCAATTGGCTTGTGACCTACCTATGGGCTTCTGTAGAGCTTCATTCGCCTTCACCTTAGGAAACTCTTCAGGTCAAACAACAATTTACCACACTGTTTTCTTTCTTCAGTTCCTGAAGCTTCTTTTATTCCTTTTTCATGTGCCACAGAAGACAGCAGCATCTCTTCCCAGCACTCGTTTATACACCCTGCAGGCTTTCCACGGGGAGCCCAAAATACAATTTATTTCATTTTAAAATACCTCTGCCTGCAGTGTACAAAATATTTTACAATATTCCCTTTACCACAAAATATTCCCCTTTTCCCCTTGTGAAGGGCAGGTTTCTGTGGGCAGCTCTGCACCAGCCCCGGGGACCCTGCGGCCCAGGGCAGCCCAGGAGCTGCTGAGGTAAAGGAAGGAGTTTGTGTGCCCGGGCAGCCGTGCCCAGGTGAGGGCAGGGAGGAGTTCATGCCCAGGTGAGGGCAGGGGAGCAGCCCTGCCATGCATTCTCCCTCACCATCAGCCCAGCCGCCGCTGTTTGCCTTTCCTCTGAACGCAAACCGGGGAAGTGGCAGCTCAAGAGCTGATAAGGGTAATTGGACGCGTCCGTGGCAGATAGGGCACGCAGGGCTGCCAGGGATGTGCAGAAAGGAGCTCGCCCTGCCCCATTCCCCGACAGGAGGGTGCAGGTGGGGACGGGCTCTGCTCCCTCAGAACCAGGGGATAACAAAGCCCGGTTCTGCCAGGGGAGCCTGAGGCCGAACGGGGGGAAATGTCTTCACCCAAAGGCCTGTGCAGCCTGGCACAGGGGTTTTAAATCCCTCCAGCATGGGGAGTCCACATCCACAGGGCAATGGTGGAGTCCCCGTGCTGGAGGGATTTAAAATGCCCGTGGATGTGGCACTGGAGAGCCGGGGTACGTGGTGGCACTGGGCAGGGAGAGGGGACTCGGTGGTCCTGGAGCCCCCGTCACTCTGTGGCTCTGTGGCTCTGGTGGTGCTCCCAGGTGGTGTCCTGTCCTTGGTGCCCTGGCAGAGCAGCAGCCGCTGTCCCTGGGGACTCCCCCGCAGCTGAGGGGTGACAGAACCGCGCTGTGCTCAGCCCTGCAGGGGCTCCCCAGCGCCTGCTGCGGCCTGGGAGCAGCTCCCTCCCCTCCAGCGCAGGAGCAGCCGGCTCCTCTCTGCTTCTCATGTCTGAGCTGACATTTGGCTGTCTGGAACACAAAAGCTGTTCCCGGGCTCGTTAAGTGGATCTCACGCAGCGCGGTGTGTGCCCCGGGAGGCAGAGTCCCACACGGTGTGGGCTCTGGGGCGCAGTGGCAGTGCCATGGGGACAAGGGGGTGGCTCTGCATCGGCAGGGGAGGCTGGGCAGCGTCCAGCACTGGGCAGTGTCCAACACTGAGAGTGTCCAGCATGAGCAGGCAGTGTCCAGCAGCCCAGGCTGGGGTCCCATGGCAGCCCCACAGAGTGCTCCCACAGGGGACTTTGCTTCTCCCTTTTGGCCTTTTTAATATTATAAACCAACAAGGATAATGAAGCTGTTCTGGAGTCCCTTCTGTATTCCAGAATATGCAAATGGTTTGTGATAGCAACGCACACAGCAATAATTGGAGTTAATGGAGGTGAGTTATTAATCCTAGTGGAGCAACTACACTTCCAGAGCCTAAAGATAACACAGGATCCTGGAAAACTTGTTCTAATTACAGCAGGGAGCAATCTTGCCTTCTTGCTATATGGCCATTTAAACTGAAATTACTATCCTCTGTAGAAAAGCTCTTTTGTTCAGCTCCTGGCCAAGAAAGACAATTCTGCTGAGGCAGTTTGATAGCACATTAATACTCACATTATACAATTTCCTCAAATGGCCAAGAAGACAAACAGATCACATAGCTGGGGAGACAAAATTAAATATTTCAATTAAGAATTTGCTAGCTAATGCATAGGGGGGATGAATGTGGCGCTGCCTCTGAGGCGCTGTGACCAAAGCTGTGACCCAGCTGCTGGTTGGGCACTGCTGAGGATCAGTGGGACCCTGCAGGTGCCTCCTTCCAGCCCTGGGAGCTCCTCACGTGGGGGCAGCAGCCAAGCCTGGGACAGAAGAGGTCAAACAGAGCTCAGAAAACACCTGTCGTTGCATCAGCATCACATCGTAGCCAGCTTCATCTGCTGATGTTTAGCAAGTGTTAGCAATACGTTCACACTGGATTTTCCATTAAATTTCCCTTTTGGTATTTCTTTATATATTTGTTTAAATGTTGGCAAAATCGTTTCTTGATGTTTCAGTGTAGATTTATCAGGTGCTCTGTTTGGTAAAATAAGTCATCTGAACCCTCAAAGCTGTTGGAATTCATAAAGTTAGGGACACCCATCCTCTGGGAGTTTGGTTGTTCATTGCTGCCCCGGGATGTGCAGGGTGTCTCTGTTCCAGCCCATGCAACTGAAGAACGAGTCTGGACTCTTCACTTTTCGCTCTTGAGGTTGTTTATTAATTCTTATCTATAAAATTTTCTTTCTGCCCAGCCGAGGTCTGCTCAGCAGGGCAGCCACAGGCACTCTGTGTTGTCCTTTTATACTGCAAACTACATATAACATATTTACACTTAATTCCTGATACCCATCACCTATGTTAGACAGTGCACTTCTATTCTAAATATAACATATTTACAATTACTTTCCAATACCTATCACCTATTTAAGACAGTGCACTTCTACTCTAACCCAATCCCAAAGTACCAACATCACTGCAGAAAATGGAGAACAAGAAGAAGAAGAAGAAAGGCTGGACACACCCAAGTTCCTCCATCTTGTCTCCATAGCCCCCATACCAAAAATCCTAAAATCTACATTTTCACCCTGTGATAATTTTATTATTATACTATTTAAACTTCTGTGACTTTCAGGTCCTCGTACAAAGCTGGTAACTTGCTCCAGGGGTCACAATCAAATCCCCAGGTGCTCTGGGCTGTGTGCCAGGGTCTCTGAGCCCCCAGAGGGGTCCTTGGTAACTCTGGGCACCCAGAGGGATGCGCTGAGCTCCGACACCTCTCTGCTCCCCTTGTACCCGGCCTGGAGCGCCCACAGCTCCCGGCAGTGATCCCCATGGCTCTGCCTAATGGGTCCAAAGGGCTGCTCTGGCCCTGCTGGTGCAAAGCATTGCAAACAAGGAGCAGCAAGGTGCAATTCCCTCCCGCCTTTCATCCCTGGAGCCTGAGCCCCCTCCTGCCCACAGCCCCAGCTCCCCCTGTCCGTCCCTCACAGCCGTCTGTCCTTCTGCAAACTGCCCTCCCTCGCTGCCTCCCACTCCTGCCCGACGGTTAATAGGGGAAGGAATGGCCTGGAAAATCCCAGTCGTGGAAACGGGAATCAAATCGTTCAGTTTAGCGCTGCCCCATAATGAATCCCGATTTTACTCTGACGCAAATCCTCACTTTTATTTTATTTCAGGAAAACCTGAACATGCAGTAATGACAAAGAATTTAAACTGAGCATTAAAAGCCCCCTTTTCTGAGCTCTCTTCCAACAGGTTTGAGGCAGATGGGGGTAGGAGCACCTTGAGCAACACCTCTGCACTGCTGTCTCCACAGCCAGATCCTTTCATCCCTTCCCAGCTATTGTTCCCTCCCTCATTATGCTGCAGCTCTCTGTCCCTGGCTGCTCTGGCCTCCTTCCTCCCGGGCTGTGTGGGGCACAGTGACCCCTGTGTGGGGCACAATCACCCCTGTGTGGGGCACAGTGACCCCTGTGTGGGGCACAGTGTGGGGCACAGTCATCCCTCATCACTGGGGCTGTGTGGGGCACAGTGACCCCTGTGTGGGGCACAATCACCCCTGTGTGGGGCACAATGACCCCTGTGTGGGGCACAGTGTGGGGCACAGTCATCCCTCATCACTGGAGCTCTGGGGCACAGTCACCCCTCATCGCCGGCTGCTCGCTGTCCTGTCTCTCATGACCGGATGCTCCCGGCTGGTGTCGGTGCTGCCCCTGGGCTGAAGCCCAGCAGATGAACGTGCTCCTGTCTCAGAGCCCCTGTGCCCCTCCACGCTGGCCTCGGGACTCCTCTGTCTGCACACACAGCCGAAGGTGGAGCTCAGCGGCCCCCGGGGATGGTGGGGAGGGAGGTGATGCCAAGGAGCAAACACAGAGGCACATCAGTACCGTAAATAAACCCCCAGAGCCAACCCTGCAGGACAGACATGCCAGCTGAGCCCTCGCTGCAGCAGACCCCGGCACTCCTCCCAAGGCCGTTTCCAGCACAGGGCAGCCCCTGAAGCACGGCTTTAGCTGGAGCTGCACAGCTCTGCAGTGCTGGGGGCTGCCCTGCTGCAGGGACCCTCTGTCCCCACGTTCCCTCCTCCCTGTGGAAATGCCAAACACGAATAAACCCATCTGTTTGCACCCTGAGCATGGCCCTCTGCCCCTGCTGCGGCACTGGGACCCCACACCCCTGCAGCAGGACCTGGCACCCGCACCCAGGTGAGGCCAGGGCATCTTCCCCTGCTGCCCTTGAGCCTCTGCTCGCCCTGTGCTAATGTTTTCCATCCCTTAATGACTGATTGTTTATCCAGCTCTTAAGGGATTAACCTTTGTCTTTTCAATTTGGAGCTTCAGGAGCTTATTCCATGAGCCCAGTCTAAAAATGTACCGGGAAAAAAAAATCACTGGCATAGATAATCCTTTTTATAACCTCTAGAATTTGACTAAAAGAACCCACTGTTAAGGAAAAATACATCTGTTAATGTTCAAACATGAGTGAGCCTGGTTGTTGCTGTACAAACCTTTTAAAGCTATTAATGATTGATTTTAAAGTCTCATATTTAGTGGGGGGGCAAGATCAGCACTGACTTGGAACCACAGCAACCTGGGGTGTGGGAAGGCAGAACCTCCTCTGTGAGTTCCTCTTTGCTGCTGTGATTCCTAAATGAGGTGAAATCAATTATAAATGGGGCAGATACTAGAACTGCGCTCTCAGATCTGCAGGGATGGACCCCAAACCATTCTGGGCCTCGGGGTTTCCTAAAAGCAGCTCATCCTTCATGGCCAGGAGCAGCAGCCGGGCACAGAGCTCTGGGTTTCCCTTGGCACACCGATTCATGCCTGACACTCCCATTGCAAACTACAGATTGAGGTGTTTTGTCCTGTTCTGGTGAGGAGCCCAATGGACAGGAGCAGGCTGCACAGGAACTAAGTTCAGGTTTAGCCCAAAATTGGGCACGGGCAGGAGGAGCAGGAAGTGGCACCTCTGCAGCAGCATGCCTGTCCCAGATGTATTTAAAAGAGAAATGATGATTTTCTTGAAAATCTGTTTGCATAATAATTTGCAAGACATTGGAGGGATTCTCCACATTCTCATTTCTCCATGCGGCTTGAAAGTATATTTGATAAAATATGCAACAAAGCACACGATTTATAAGGCAGAGTAAAATGGACGATTTGGGAATTGATCTCTTGTTGATATGAAACCTCATATCCGCTCTCTGTGGAGGTCTCTGAAAACAGCCAAGCTGCTGGTTTGCAGCCCAGCCTGGTTTGCTCAGCTGGCCTAACAGCGTGTGAGGGGAGCAGGGCTCTGTGTCCCGCTGTGTTTGTGCTGTGCCTGCCAGGGAGGCACGCTCCACGCTGTCTGCATGGAAATAAACACCTCCCTGCCACAGGTGCTAATGAGGCTTCGTCTGCTTGGCCAGGGAGCTGCCTCAGGAGCCCTGCCAAGCCCTCGGCCTGCCTGCAGCCCAGGGAGGAGCAGCCACAGCTTAGCACGGCTGGAAAGCAATGAGGAGTGGGATCAGCCTGCCCAGCCCATGGGACAAGTAATGGCATCACAGCTCTGAGGGCAAATCTGGGGGTTCAGTGAACTGGGGATGGATGGATGGGGATGGATGGGGATGGAGGGATGGAGGGATGGAGGGATGGATGGATGGATGGATGGATGGACGGATGATGGATGGATGGATGGATGGATGGAGGGATGGATGGATGAGGGATGGATGGATGATGGATGGATGGATGGAGGGATGGATGGATGAGGGATGGATGGATGATGGATGGATGGATGGATGGATGGATGGATGGATGATGGATGGATGATGGATGGATGGATGGATGGATGGATGGATGGAGGGATGGATGATGGATGGATGGAGGGATGGAGGGATGGATGGATGGATGGATGGATGGATGGAGGGATGGATGGATGGATGGATGATGGATGGATGATGGATGGATGGAAGCAGCTTCCCTGTGCCTGCCCTGCATGCCAGGTCCCAATGCCGCGTGTTTAAACCTCATCCCTTCTCCGTGCTTGTCTCTAGTGGGTAAAACCTGATTTTTAAAAAATTATTTTTTAGCACTGATTAATATTAAAGCACATCTCCTTTGGGGCTGTTGAAAAAAATGCAGAACCTTTGGTGAGGGGAAACACTAACGAACACCAAACCACATAATTTAATTTATATTTTCCCGTTTAAATTAAGGCAGAGTTTTAAAAGGCTTTTTAAAACCAGGGCAAAGGATTCTCTGGTGGTGTTAACTGGGCCACTTAGAGCAAATGGGCTTTAGCAGAGAAATGCCCAATTAAAGTGCTGTTCTAGCAGGGATCACGGAGCAGGCAGCGAATCCTCAGTGAAAGCACAGAGAAATGACAGGCTCGTGGTTATTGACTTTGGGTTTTGAAATGAAATTACAGCAATTATTTTGCTCCTGCGAACAAGAGACGCAGAATTAATAGAATTCGCAGGAGATGAATATTCAATTATCCCGGGCTGGGGGGGTTTGCGGTGCTGCCAGCCCGTGCCACGGCGGTAAAACAAACATTCCTTGGGAGAGCTGAGTCCCAGGCTGGGGCCAGCCTGGCCAGGGCTCCGTCCCTGCAGCGCCTCAGGCCGGGCCGGGCACTTTCCCAGCCCCAGGGACGCTCTGCAAGGACAAATTCGGCTGGAGAATTTCAGACTGCCCTGCTCGGTGCGGGCTCCAAGGCCAGGGCAGGCCCCGTCCCCTCCCCACGGCCGAGCCCCACGGTGCCCCACAGGCCTCAGCCACGCAGCCCGGGTGTTGAGGGCACTGCAGGGCACAAACGCAGCTCCACACACCCGCGCTGCAGAAATCCTGCCTCCAACAAGCCAGCAATAAGCAATTTACAGCCTTAAATCAGCCAGCAATAAGCAATTTACAGCCACGCTCCACGGCCAGGCTGATGTGCCGTGCCCACCCTGCCCCGGCCCCACAGCTCTTCCATTTAAGGGAAATTGAGGGCAAGACTTCTTTTTCCAGCTCACAGCTCAGCATTAGAAAAGACACAGGCAAAGATTTTTGAAAGTATTTTCTGCTGATAATGAAAAGTTTTGGTTTGGTTTGCCTTTCGAAAGTAGCTAACTACCACATGGCAGAAACAAATGGGAGACAATGATCTTTGAAACAGTAAAATGCATCAAAGTTGGTTTATTCCGGTGCTTGCAAGGTCCTTGAGCAGCCTGTCCGTGTTTTGTCCCGGCACTGCTGATCCTCAGTGCCCTGTGTGTGCCCAGAATAGGACAGAGCCAGGCCAGGAGGGGAGGATGTGGGCAGGCATCACACCTGGGGAGGCTCCTGGGTGCCCTGACACCCTCCTGCACCAGCAAAGCGTCCTGGCAGAGGAGACTGAATCCCCTTTACAGGGAAGTAGGAGGGAAAACATAAATATAAATGTAAATATTGAAATATTTAATTATATAAATACATAAATATGTATAAATATATAAAATAATATATAAATATATATTTCATATATATATGTATTCCCTATATATATATATTCTTTTAGGTTCCCACAGCCTTGCAGAGGAGGCATCAGAACAGCACAAGCAAATGTGTTTACAGCTTCACGCTTAAATTTGAAACGTGTTTCTAACCTGACATCTGTGTATTTTCAGCCCTTTCCAAAGCTCTTGTTTTGCTTTCTGTGGCTTCTGCTTCATTATTCTAATTTAATAAAGCCGCAGTGAAGGCAGAGTGCCGACTCTTTGTGGCTAATGAAAGACATTGATTTGTTTGTACTTCTTGTTATAGATTTTTCCTAATTACAGGCATTTTTCAGAGGCAGTTGAAAAAATAAACGAGCAGCTGGTTTGAATGTGCAACCTATTATTGTATTTCCTAGAGCTGCAGAAGAAGCATTAACGCTCGCAGCGGGATGGTTTCAATGCAGGAGGCAGAAAAGGTATTTTCCAGGTGGGAGGCCACTCACTCATCCACTGCCTTCCTTCCTTCGGTGCTGCTGACAGGAAGGGCTGGAAATTGGCTTTTTCTGAGGCAGCAGCTGCAGGGGTGGCACCTGGGCTCTGCGCAGAGCAGGGGGCAGGAGGAGCAGGAGCAGCATCCGCTGGAATGGCTGGGAATGGGCAAAGCCAGGGCTGGGCAGCACGGCTGGGATGGGGAACAGCAGGAGCCGGGGGCAGGATCCTCTTCAAAGCACATTGAAATGGGGGGGACAGAGCCAGGGGCAGGAGCAGCGCCCCAGAGCCTGCCCTGAGAGACCCCAGGACCCCTGGAATGGTTTGGGGTGGGCACGGGCCCAGCCTGGCCCCAGGGGACCCTGCTGCGGTGACGGGGAGAGCCAGGGACCCACACACAGAACACCCTGCATACACACCCCAGGGACCCACAAACACCCTGCACACTGACCCCAGGGACCCACAAACACCCTGCATACACACCCCAGGGACCCACAAACACCCTGCACACTGACCCCAGGGACCCACAAACACCCTGCATACACACCCCAGGGACCCACAAACACCCTGCACACAGACCCCAGGGACCCCCACACGGAACAGCCTGCACACTGACCCCAGGGACAGCCAGGGACCCACACACAGAACACCCTGCATACACACCCCAGGGACCCACAAACACCCTGCACACAGACCCCAGGGACCCACAAACACCCTGCACACACACCCCAGGGACCCACAAACACCCTGCACACACACCCCAGGGACCCACAAACACCCTGCACACAGACCCCAGGGACCCACAAACACCCTGCACACTGACCCCAGGGACCCCCACACGGAACAGCCTGCACACAGACCCCAGGGACAGCCAGGGACCACACACAGAACACCCTGCACACGGATCCCAGGGCAGCTCCCTGGGACCCCACTCACACCACCCACAAAAACATTTCCCCTTAAATGCTGGTGGAATATTTCCCCAGGTACACGCAGGCCTTTCTCCCCAGGCAATGATGCTGTTCCCCACAATGTGAATTCCAGGCCACAGGCAGCCCTGGCACCGAGGAGCTCTGCCTGGGGCAGGACCGTGGCAAACCCTGTGCAGCCCTTCCCTCCCGCTGCTGAGCCTGGCCACTCCTCATCACACAGCGCACCAGAAATCACACACGTGTTGCAAACTATTGCTAAACCCTGGAAACTGATCCGAGTCCCAGTCCCTACACGTTTGAATCACGCTCCCAACAAAGGCTGATTTTCCTATGAAAACAAACCACAACATGCTCCTCCACCCCTGGGCAGGAGGAGCTGTGGAGGTGGCTGTGTTTGTTTGTTTGTTTGTTTGTTTGTTGGTTTGCTTTTTTCCTTGGAGAAACCATTTCACACTCGAATCAAAACAAAGATCTATTTGGAGCCGGTTCTCTTTGCCAGGGCAGATTAAGAGAAAGCTGGATTTGAACCCAAACCATTCACATTTTGCCCTGGCAATGTGCTGTGGAAGGGCACAGCACAGTACTCCTGCCAGCTCTCGGCAGCTCTGCCTCTTCCCTGCCCAGATTTCTGCAGAATTGCAGCGCCAGGGTCAGGAGGGGGCTGCTGCTGGAACCCTGCTGCCTGTTGGAATTCCCTGCTGCCCCTGAGGCTGCAGCACGGTGCCCGGGGGCAGGGAGAGCGGGGCCAGAGCAAAGGCTGAGAGCAAGGTGCAGAGCAAAGGCTGAGCTGCACCTGAAACCTGGGCCTGAGAGCCTCCCCTTGGGCTGGGCTCATCACAGCCCCACGGCCCCACAGGACACAGGACACAGCCCCATGGCACACAGCCCCACAGGACACAGCCCCACAGCCCCACAGGACACAGGACACAGCCCCATGGCACACAGCCCCATGGCACACAGCCCCACAGCCCCACAGGACACAGCCCCACAGGACACAGGACACAGGACACAGCCCCATGGCACACAGCCCCATGGCACACAGCCCCACAGGACACAGCCCCACAGCCCCACAGGACACAGGACACAGCCCCATGGCACACAGCCCCATGGCACACAGCCCCACAGCCCCACAGGACACAGCCCCACAGGACACAGGACACAGGACACAGCCCCATGGCACACAGCCCCATGGCACACAGCCCCACAGGACACAGCCCCACAGCCCCACAGGACACAGGACACAGCCCCATGGCACACAGCCCCATGGCACACAGCCCCATGGCACACAGCCCCACAGCCCCACAGGACACAGCCCCACAGGACACAGGACACAGCCCCATGGCACACAGCCCCATGGCACACAGCCCCACAGGACGCGGCTGGGGCTCTCTGGGGCAGCTCGGGTTTCGCTGCCTCGGGCTGAGCTGCAGCCGAGTGGGAGGAGCAGAGGTCACTCTGCCAGCATCCGTGACAGAAGCAAAAATAATCCTGCTGCTCCCACACCGTGCATTTCTCAGCATGATTCATTGGAAAGCAGAATTAATTCCAGTGGGGCTGGCCACGAAGGCTGTCGCAACCGAGAAGTGGGGGCGGCAGCGCTGGTGGGAGGGCAGGAGCTTCCAGAGGGAGCCTGGCCATGGCAGGGAGCAAACCCCTGTGCCTGCCCCTGCTGTAGCTTCCTGGTGAGCAAACGGGATGATCCAAATTTACACCCCGGTGAAACACTCGGGAATGCAGGACTGGAAAGGGCTGTCAGAGACCTGAATTATCGCTGCAGGAGCGTTGAACTGTGAGATTCCCTTGTGACTGTCAATGATCCCAAGGCTCAGAGCCGCACACAGGGTCTGGGGTCCCGGTGGGTGCCTCGGGCAGGAGCGGCACGAGGGGCCACAAAGGAGAGAGGAGGAGAAATCCTCACAAGTCCGCTTGGAAAACAAGGAAACGGCATTGCCAGCTCGTTCAAACCCTCCTTGGCTGCCTCGGGGTGTGAGCAGCCAAATCCTCTGGGTTTGTGCCGGGTGCCGCTGCTGCTGCTGCTGCTGCGGGCGGGGATGAGCGGCGGGAGGGGATGACGGGGCCCAGCTCCGCTGAAATATTCTGGGACGGAGCGTCCCTCCGCTGGGCTGGGTGCCCGCAGAGCGTCCGGAGAGGCCGCGGCCGCAGGGGCGGGGGCAGGAAGCGGATCGGGCTCGGTGCCTCCTGCCCGCCGCAGCCCGGCCGCAATCGCCGAGCGGAGCTGGGGGCACCGGGACGGGGGGAGCCCCGGCCCTGCAGCATCTGTTTCCTGTGCCAGCTGCACCAAAAACCCCTTGGGGCCCCGCAGCCCCCTGAAAATTCAGCGGGGGTCAGAACCAATTCCCGACAGCCACTGCCCCGTGAGCAGCACCAGCCCCTTGCTCAGGACAGGACCCCCGGTCAATGAGCCAAACCCGGGCACAAACACAGCAGGCACGCAGGAGCCAGGGGGCCGATCTCGCTGCTCAGCCCGTCTCTGTCCCCTCAGCGCCTCCAGGATCCCGACCCTCTCTCCCTGGATGTGCCAGTGCTGGGAGATGCTTCTTGTGCACACGAGCTGGATGTGCCGTGCATTCCCAGCCCGTCTCTGTCCCCTCAGCGCCTCCTGGATCCCAATCTCCCCTCCCTGGGTGTGCCAGTGGTGCCTGCACGCCGCTGACGCTGGGAGCCGCTCCTCATTGTGCACACGGGCTGGATGTGCCGTGCATTCACAGCCAGCTCTCGCTGCCCAGGAGCCACCTTCCTTCCCCCTCACAGCCTGGGTGAAGCTGGGGCTTGAGCCAAGCTGGTGCAGCAGAACCGGAGCCTCTGTGCTCTCTGCGCTTCCCCTGCCATCCCAGGTGAAGGAGCTCAACCGTTTGGGGTGGTGCTTTGTTTGGTTTGGGGTGTAAGCACATCGAGTTTATTACTTTAACAATAAAGAGGAGATTGCACTCCTCACAGAGCAGGCACCCGGCCTGCAGGTGCCCATGCCCTCAGAGAGGGCAGAAAGGTGCCCTGGGCTGTGCAGCGCTGGGCCCCCACACCTGGAGAGGCTGCTGGGCCAATTCTCTCCATTCCCTTCCCCTTTCCTGTGGGAGCTGCTGCTGTGCCCCGGGCCAGGCCCCCGAGCCCAGGCTGTGGGTGACTGAGAGGGGCCCGTGCTGAGCAGAGCAGGGAGTGGGGAACGGGGAGGGGCACTGGGCTGGGGCTGTGGGGCCTTCCCCCTCCCCAGGCGCTGAAATGCAGCTTCTCCTCCTCCCGCCTGCAGCCTGGATCCCGCAGCACTGCCCCGTGCCTTTCCTGGCTAAAGGAGCCCGATTGCTGCCCTGGGGCTCCGAGCTGGGCACAGCCCCTGCCCAGCACCCTGCTCGGTGCCACAGGAGCTCGGGGCACTGCCCTCAGCCAGGACACCTGGCACCTGGACAAGGTGAGGGCCCTGCTCCTCCCTGCCCCTCGGTGGGCTGTGTGCGGTGGCCGTGGGTGCTGTGCCTCAGGAGCTGAGAGCCCGGAGCACCCCCAGCCCTGGCACGGGCCCAGGAGCTCTCTGGGGTTCAGGGGCTGGCCAATCAATCTTCATTCCTGCAAGTTCCCAAATGCTCTTCAAGGCCTAAGAAAAGTGACCCTCAGTAGCTCCCCTTTTATCTGAACTCTAGGCCGTTCGTGCCAAGGCCTTTGTTGACAGTTTGTAATTCTTTATTTATAAATTCCCTTCCCTCCACCGCGGGCTGCTCTGCGCAAGCAGCTGTTCCACACAAACACTTCTATCTCCCGGCCTGTGTTATCAGACTTCCCCCAGATACAGCCCTGCTTAATAATTAACGACTTTTTGCAT